CACACACACACACACACACACACACACACACACACACACGTGTGGTAATGTATATTTCCACGTTCTGGCTGTAGATTCATTCGATTTTGCTCATCCTCTGTGTGTGTGTGTGTGTGTGTGTGTGTGTGTGTTTGTGTGTGTGTGTGTGTGAGAGAGAGAGAGAGAGAGACTTTGGGCCTCGTTAGACCCTCCTTGGGAAGGCGATTTTAAGGAATTCGCCGTGGTTACACCGCATCCTAATTCTCCAAATTCCTTGGATAAATGTGAAAACGCTCCCAAGAGATTTCCTTGGGTTCCTCAGAATCGCCAGCCAAAGTGTCCTTGGATTCAAGGGGCCCTCTCGAGGTTCCTTGGGCTCAAGGAGCTGCGATTGACGGATCGTCGTGGAGTGTGCGTCGACGTCGAAAATTGGAGTTGTTTGTGGTCCACAAGTCGTCCGTGGTCCGTCGGGCGGACAACATCGGCTTCCGGCAGGCGACAGGCCCCCAACGGCTTTGTGTCGTTACTGTTGCCGTGTAGAGGGTCGGGGGGCGGTTCTTCGGCTACGACGCTGCCAAAAACTGGCGGGGTTGTCCTTGCCCGCGTCGTCGGGTGTGGTATCCAACGGTTGACTTTTTCAAAATTGATTTTGTCGATGCCGTGTGAGCAGCGTCGGCCGACTGCTGTTCTACTCGACATCGTCCATTGCCCGTCATTGACATGCGCACGGGAGGGATCTCCTGTCGGTGCAGATCGACAGCTGCTGCGATTCATGGCAGATGTCCTCCGACGGCTCCCGCTCCTATTACTGGCCACTCTTCTCCTGCTCCTTGTCGTCTTGTTCCGCGCCTGTGTCGCTGTACGGGGTCCTCGGCAGACGGAGACGACAAGTGGCAGCGAAGGTGACAATGAAAAGACGGGAGAGCTCCATGGGACAACACATATGTGCGATTGAGTTCTCCATTCATGGGCGGCCGGTGTCGGGCCATCGTCCACCCGCATATGACCCCACGTTGTACAGTCATCTCCCGCCGCACCAGCAACCGCTACCGCCGGATCCGAAAGAGGAATGGGTGGACGATATGTCCCACACCCTTCCTCTGGGGAGCGGATCTACATAGGACTGGATGGGGAGGCACTACCAGCAAAGAGAAGCAGGGAGTAGTCATCAGTCGTACTCGGCAATGCTGGAGGGAGGTCTCGACAGTGGCGATACGGAGATTGTGGACTTGGATTTCGGCTTGTCAAGCAGGACGCCTGGAATGGGTGCTAACACTTGTGCATCGAACCACGTGGGCGCCACGACCGTCGGGCAAATGTTTGTGAGTCGGGTGGGAGTGGCGGGGGTAGGTGGAAGATCCTCCGGTGTGGGCGGCACGGCAGATGGGTGTCGTCAAACGCCCTCCATTTGTGGAGGCGTAGGACCAGTTGGCGATCCGCCGAGGGCAGTGTTACCCACCCACTCCGCGACGCCTTCGCCCGCACTACGGCAAAGGGCGGCCGCACCGGCGGCGAATACCAGCACTTCTCCACCGGAAGAAATGGGGAGGCAGGCGTGGGCGTCCTGTCGCCAACAGATGCGTCGAGCGATCGATGATAACATAACGAACGGGGTGTCGTGGATGCGTGTGGGGAGCGATGTCGATGCACACGACACTCGGAGGGCGAGCGCCGAGTGGTGAAGAATCTTCAGATTCCCATTGCGAGGAGGAACCGGAAGATGCGGAAGACCTGGAGATTCGACCCGTTGGTGTGCGTGGTGGACGGAGGGGTGGATGCGAACGTCAACAAAAGCCCGCGTCACGTGGCGGTCGAGGATCGAAGGGTCCTGTGGGCGAGAACGGAGGCAAACATCCACCACCTTGGAGTGTTGAAGAGATGATCAAGCTCGCTCGAGCGAAGCGGGACCAGCAAGCTCATTTCGAAGGAATGTCGCACAACTACGGTCGCATGCGCAACAGGGAATGGAAGTTGCAGGACCTGCAAAAGCGTGTGGTGGAGGTGGGCGTGAAGAGGACGACCGACGACATCGGCAAGAAGTGGGATAACCTCTTCCAGCGGTATAAGAAGGTGCAACGATACCAGAACGCGCCCGGGGGGAAGAACTTCTTCATCTTGAGGCCTGCATTGTAAACAGAAGAGGGATTCAACTTCCGAATTGATCAGCGAGTGTACCTTGAGATCGACAACATGTCTCAAGGCAATAAGACCATCTACCCAGATAACCTCGCCGACACGGGCGCCCGGGGAGGAGTGCAGATGTCGGGGGATACTCAACGTCAGCCATTCGTTGCAGGCGAATCTTGTACCGGGGGAGATGCGGGTGATGGCAACGACGAAGATGGAAGGTCGGCTCGGGAGTCTGGGTTCAGTGCAAGCAGCACGGGTGGCGCTGGAAAGAGAAAGAACATGCGCCTACAAACTTTTGACGCCATCGTCGAAGTGATGGAGAAGCACGATGCATTGATGGCGGACACTGTAGAGGGGGCAAGCAAGCGACAATGTAGTATCTTGGAGCGGCAGTGCGATATACTGGAGCGTGAGGTCGATGCCCATAAGCGGCACTACGAGGCGTCCGACGAGGCAAACAGGATGATATGCATTGCGTTGTTGGAGATCGCTAAAGCAATAAGGGAGAGGTCGTGACGCCGCCTGAAGTCCTGCATCTGTGTTACTGTGTACATTCTTCCTTAGTCGGTCGTCATGTGAATGCATGTCCTAACGCTACATCCCTCGCTTGTTCTCCGTGGGTGTCGTAGTGATGGCACTGACTCCGCATGTGCACTCGTGAAGGGCGCTGTTGAAGGCACGGCGTGCGTGGTTTGACAGTTCGTGCAGGTTCACAGGAGCGCCGTGTAGCATTGCTGGGAGTACGTACTTTTCTTCGCCACGTGTATATACATATATAGAGAGAGGGTAGTTCCCGGAGATTGGAATTTCCCCGGCCTGGATGGGTGAAATCGACGCCGTCATTCTGGGAGGGCGTCGTAGCAGGGAAAGGTCACCGCCAACACTATAAACTTTAAAATCAGTGCATGTCTGCTGGTTTTCGTGTCTTGGGCTTTATGGGCGTCCATTCCTTGCCACGCATCGGGGTTGTGTTCCAGTGCGTCGGGAGTTGATCATCCTCGCCATCGCCAAACACCACCGCTGTCTTCACTTGTGCGTCTCTCTTTTGTCTGTCCGCGGCGTCGTCCGCGACACGCAGCAGACTCACAGCGCTTTCATTTGCGAGACGTGGGAGACCGATCAGTAACGCATGGCGCCACGTGGACAGTACCAATTCAAAAGGCGAGAGGGCAGATCTGGCAAAGGCTCTGGCGGGCAAACCTGAAGGGGGCAAGTCCCGAAGTCCAAAAAGTTGCGTGGGGTTGACCGATCGGAGGGTGAGATGGGGGGTGAGGGGGGACAGGACGTGTCGCCCATGGATATCCCTTCCACGGCCACGCCAACGCTCGGGTTCGGGAGAGACGGTGTCAGCAGGGAGCGGATGATTGCGTTGGCCAACCTTGGTCTTTCAGGGACTCCACGTGGCGGCGGGAGCGGAACCGTGCATTCTCAAGGGATTGTCATCAACGACATGACACCGCAAAGGCCTGTCAGTTCAATGTCAACGATCGTTTCCATTATCGAACGCACGGATAAAGGACAAGTCCCTGTGTCCCCTTTGCGCCACGTGGATCCATCCAACACGTTGATGGTCGGGGGGTCGTCGAGGGTTGTCGCACCTTTCGCACAAGCAGGAAGCCCCAGTGTCCATGCCACCGCCACTGCTGCGGGAGAAAGGCGAGAAGATCGGAGGGTCAAAGAGGCGGGGAAGAAAGAGGAGAGGAGGGATGAGATTTCGCGGGCAGACTGTGAGGACGACGACTCTCTGAACTCGAGGAAGAAACGAACGCGTCAGGAGGAAGAGTTGGAGGCGAAATCCAAGCTCTGGGAAGATGGGAAGACGTTCTGGGGAAGCGGACCTGGTTGCATGATTGCGGATGCCGTGCATGACTCCACGGACTATTATTGTCCAATCGTGAACGGTGATGCAGGCGCCACCGCTCCGCATGGCGTCATCATACCAGGCCCCGATGTTCCGCGCGTGTGAATCGAAGATCCTGCGCAACGAGAGCCATCTCTGCAACGGGCGAGACGAACAGAAAACGTCGCTATGCGCGTCTTCCACGGGTGGATATTCACGTCGTCTTCAAGGTCCGATGGTTTCGCCCGCGCGAAGTCGTATGTTGTCGTCGATTACCCCACCGATCTGGCGAAAGCAGTTTGGGAGAGCGCGAAGCCATCGAGGGTAGCGCCGGCTAGTGTCGTCTACCACACGCTCGCTCTGAAGGTGGACATTCCATTGTGGTATGCGGGGGCATATATCGAGGATAGGCCCAAGGACGATGACATGCCAGCCCATCATGAGTCCACGGTGATGCATTTGGCGTCCAGCTTTCACAATGCGCTCCGAGTCGGGCAGGGTCCGACGACGGGAAAATATCCCAGTCAAGACTTAGCAGAGTCGCATACGCTTTCCGCCTGCTTCTCGCCTCGTGCATGTGGGCCATGCGCATGGGGGGCGACGATGCACACTCCTATGAGGAGGCGTCATACTACGCACAACTCGTGGCGAAGCCCACGATTGTGGCGGCTGGTTAGCAGTCCTTCAACTGGCGCAGGCATGTTCTCCAGTCCGGAAATGCCATATTGACTCGCCTCGGGAAGCCGCCCTTGACGATGGGTGTGTTTCCTAACTACATCCCGGACTGGGCTTCATGTGGAGTGCGCTTTACCTACCACGCTGGTTTGGCGGACCCCGACATCGCGGCGAAGATGGACTGGATGGGGATGGGACCTTTTGATGGCGATCGCAAGGAGGACGGTCCCGACGACGACGTAGGGAAGTGAATTTGGTGGATATGGTCGTCCTGCGCATCGTGGCAGCATGCTTCGCCCGTGGAGTGGAATGGTCCATGATCTTCGGCGGCATGCCCGTCGTTTTGGTTTGTGTATGGCGGGTGGGGGGGCAAGGGGAAGGGGTGTCGACACAGGATTGGCATGGGGGTCAAGCTGGCAGG